CGAGAATAAAGTATAATTTGTGATTTTTTATAAATTTCTCTTTATAAGCTTTCACTGGGCTTTATTAACGTCGTAGCCAAGATTGTTTGGACAAAAGTTGAAAAATCTTTGTGGGACGGACGAGCGAATTTACTGCTTATTCCCGAGGTGCTTTTTTACAAAGCACGGAATGAAGCCAGCTGATCCCTTTCTCTTTGTTCCAAACTGCCTTACGCCCCCATTTAATGATATGCGAATGTCATACTTTGGGAACCAAGTTCTCCCGCATGATATTAAAGTGATATGGTTGGAATAGCCCAGTATTAATGCACTTTTGGTGTGGCTGCAGCGTAATACTACTTTTACCTGGTTCCGCACTATTCGGTATCGTCCTTCCCAGGTTTTATTTGTTTTTAAATAAAATCTATTCTACTATATTTGAAGTCTTCACAGATAACAGCAGAAACGTTCGGTTGAACTTTGAATTTTCTTAATATGCGCTCAGGTTAAATTTTGAGATCACTGCTTATTTCACTGGCATTTGGCACCAAAATGCATCAACATTTTTTGGCAGCCAGATACACGAACAGCAAGCAGGAAATCTCCTGGTCAGAATGTGGTGAAGCGAGTGAAACGGAAATACCGTTGTCGTGTACGAAGTCCCGAGACGATTCGGCGCTCCAAACAAATCCGGCGAAATAAAGCGAATGCACGTGAACGTCGACGCATGCACAATCTGAATCAGGCACTTGAGCAGCTGCGAAATACGCTACCGCAACTACCGGATGAGCCGAAACTTACTAAAATTGGTTGGTTGCATGCGCAGTTGCCTTGCAAGATTTCTCTCCTGTGCTCCTTTCGTTTGTTTATCCCTTTATTTCTTCAAGAATTTTTTAGAAACGCTTCGTATGGCGAATAACTACATCTACGCTCTCACACAGATCTTGAGAGACAGCCTGAAGCAGGAAGACGCAGAACGGTACAGTGCGGTAAATCGCGGAGCAAACAATTTTGAAGCCTCGAACAACCAAAACAACAAATTCACTGGACAGTTATGTCTGTGACGGTGTCGCTAAGCAATTTCGTATGCGGGGTTTTTTTAGGGGAATGAAGTTGTTTTCGAAGGGCTTATGTTTTTAATTATTTTCTGTGCTGTTAATAATTTTCGTCGCTGAAACAGTTTGTCGGGAGGGCAACTATTGTTGGTTTGCAGTGTGTGGGCGCAACAATCGACACAGAATTAATTTTGTTTCATTGAGACGGTTTTTTGATCTGTTCGTCACATAATAAGTGCAGTAATTTTCGCTTCTGGTTTGCTTTTTCCTATAAGTCAGCTTATATTTAAAAGTAAGGTCCAGCTTAAGTCCGAGTCATCAGCTCTCATTTGTGTAAAAACAATGTTCGAAAATTCCAAATCTGAACTTACCTATTAGTTCGAACCCAATTAATCAGAATTTCAGAATAATAGCCGTTAGTTGAGAAAAAAAGACCTAAAATTTCGAGTATTTGGCCCACGTCTTTTTGAATTTTATAAAATTCATTTGAATTTTGGCCTAACAGCTTGCGAAATTGCGGTGATGTTGGAAGACTAATTTAAAGATTTCTGTTTCATTTGGCTTGATGAAATACAACGTTGGGTTTCAAATCTGCAGCTTCGTTTGCTCGAAACTGTACTTGTTGGTGAGAGGCCAGGACGCAAAAAAAGGCGCGCTTGCAGCCTCGTGCGCTTCAGTAACCATGTCCAGCAATTTCTGTAAAATTATCCATTGCTTAAACTATAAAAGTTGAATTTGGCTTTTGTAGTTATGGAGATTCAAAATTGCTCGGGTGGACTTAAAATTAAATTTTTTTAGAATTATTTAAGTTTGCAATCCACTCAAACATTTCTGTTTGTTGTTTCTTCGTCGGGAATTGCAAATTCTTTTTTTTTTGTAATTCGCTCAAAAAAATTTTTTTTGTCGCTTCTTCCTCTCATTTCATTTGCCTCTCCCTTACCGCCGTCAACCTTTTTATCAATTGATTGCACTGCCTTGCTATTGGTGCGACTTCCGAGTGCCTTCGCTTCTCATGGAGAGTGAAATGTATGAAAGGATCTTCTTGCTCTTAATAAGCTTCCAAATACACTAGTAGTTTGTTAACTGGAAGACGACAGGTTTGCTTCTGTTGCTTGATTATGCCTCCCCATCTGCAGTGTCCTTCATTTCCTTCCATCCTTCATAGTGACTGTACCAGATGCAGAAGAAAGTTTTGCCGACCAGAAAAACCGTGTAATTTGATACTGAAATAAATGAACATGCGGAACTGTTTGCGGTCGGCCGGCGTGTTTTGCATGCTCTTTATTGCTACTGTATTCTGTGCGATCATTGTTCTATTTATTTTTCAGCTAATAATAAACGACACTCTCATGATTACCACTCACTGACAAGTTCGGAGCGCAGCAGGGCATCTATCCATTACTCACACATTCCTCAAATTTCCCTTTTCGCCCTGCTTAGACCGTCCAGTGGGACCCTTGCCAAATGTTGCATGAAATTAATGCCTCATGTTACTGTGGAAGGAATCATTGACCAGATCGTCTGATGTACAGTAGAACAGAGGCTAAGATTTTACCGAACATCAGAATAATCAATTATTGTGCCTTTTTGCATTTTCATGCAAGTGCTAAAACGCATGTTGTCGAGAGGTTGTCAGTGTGTGTTTGTGTGTGTGTGTTCTGATTTTTGTTATCTACACTCAACTCAGCAACCATAGAAGCTAGGAAGCTG